GGCTGCCAGCTCCAGAGCGGTGCCAGTCCTTGCAGCTGAAGGGGAGCAGCACCAGGATGTGGAAGCAAAGGCTTGTGTTGGGAATGGGAGGGAACGAAGACCCAGCACTGGAAACCAGAGTCCTCTGGAGGAGACCGAATGTCTGAACGGGTGGTGCAATAACGCTCGCGTGATGCTGCAGTACAATGAAGTAGTGTGCATGCTCTGCCTCTCTGCAAAGCAGAAACCCCTACAGCAAAAAACCAAACAGCGCAAATAACGCTTCAGGGCTGCTTTGGTTGTTTGACCTGGAGAAAGTGGCTGTCAGCTGTGGCTTGTGCTGGCCTGGGTTTGAGGTAGACTCTGCTGAGTGGAGAGTGCCAGAGACAGAACCTTTGGGAAGCTCCGCTGTGTGGTCTGAAGGGACAATGGTACCAGATCCCACAGCTGGGACACAGGAAAGATCTTCTCACGTTCACACGCACGGCCTGATGCACAGGCTGCCGCTGTCCCAGCGGGATGGACAGCAAACCAAGGCAGCCCTGTGTACAGGCGGGTGTGGCTGGGGAGCAGGCCACCCCAGCGGAGAGGAAAGCGGGGGCAGCCAGGTCGGGGGACATAAGCCAGCCTGAGATTAGATAGAGACCTGCGTGAAACAAAATGAGAATTTTGCTGCTGGCCTTGCTCAGTGGTGGCTGGTGGCCTTTGTGAGAACTGCACACCAGGAAACAATTCGTAGTAGTGAATCTGAATGTCTGCCCTTTGAAGATCTCTCAGGGGTGTTGAGGTTTGGACTACAGCTTTTTCCCCAAATATGAAGCTGCCTTATCTTGAAAAACTAGGTACGGAAGTAACTATCGGGAACAAATTTTGCCTGCAGCACAGCAAAGGTTTTGTTTTCTGTGCTGCGGTTCAAGCCTGTTGGCCTTGAAGATGTCTGGGCGCCTGTTTGTCGTCTTCCGTGGAGTCTGGCGGTTCCCAGCACCGTTCCGTTCTCCGTGGGTGCGGGAAATGTCGCTGCGAGCTGGGCTCTGTGCCCGCTCCGCTCCCTGGAGCCTCGGCAACAAATTTTGCCTGCAGCACAGCAAAGGTTTTGTTTTCTGTGCTGCGGTTCAAGCCTGTTGGCCTTGAAGATGTCTGGGCGCCTGTTTGTCGTCTTCCGTGGAGTCTGGCGGTTCCCAGCACCGTTCCGTTCTCCGTGGGTGCGGGAAATGTCGCTGCGAGCTGGGCTCTGTGCCCGCTCCGCTCCCTGGAGCCTCGGCCTGTCTCACCTCCCGCCGCCCCAGC